CAGCTAGCTGCTGCTATTATTGACGCCAATAAATGTGTACTCCATGTACGTACCACCACCATACTGCTATACTGGAGTTACATCTCTTGGCGTATAAGCGACTGTTGTATTTGCCATTTCTGAAAGTGCTACCGTGCTGTGCAGATAGATATTCGCCTCGTCTCAGATCAGATATGCAAGTTACTTATTGTTTGCATAAGATGATGCTGGAAACTTCGAGGCAATTAGAAATATACAATATGCTTGCCACTGGTAACCACAAGAAATGATTCTCGGTGCCCACACAATCGAGTTTGGTTATGGCTTAAACTGCAACTTAATTAACTCAAAGATGTCAAAATGTAACCATATATAAAAGCCAGCAATCAAGAAATTCTCACAGTGTGTGCACACTGTGACACACAGACAGACGATCGAATCGCATTGTTTGACGACGAGTCGACGACGATTGGTTTCGGCAGGAACCCACTGGTGTCAAAATGTATTGGTTTGTGTGTAAATTGATCCGCCAATTGTGCCCGACTTGAATGAGCTGAGCTGTGTGCCATGCCACCCAACCCACTGACACCCCTTTCCCAGGACCACTCTCTCTCTCTCACACACACACAATGATCAAGAAGCTAGTAGAGATCAATGGAGGAGGAACAACACCCGTAAGGCCGTAACACGCCGAGTGTATGAAGCTAGCAGTAGTGCCATCGCTCGCAAAATTTTGTTGCTTAAAGTCATATGTTCCCTGCTGGAAAAGGCGTGTAAGCTAGATTAGCTTCATTCAGGCTGGTTCGTCCATGGAGGCAAACCATGCATGCAGAGGCCATGGCCTGCCGGTTAGTTGGAGCCATCGAGTGTCATCACCCATCGCTCGATTGCTCGATCAGACTCAGACCAGATTGTTCCATCCATCCATCCATCCATCCATCTATCTATCTGAGAGTGCGTGTGTGCGTGCGCATGCTTCGGTGCAAGGATTGCTTTCTCTCTGACAGCACTGGTAGCTAGCACTAGCTACACTGCATGCATATATACTGTGGCATATCTCGACCAGAAAAGTTGGTAGCTGCATAGTAGTAGACAGTAGACACTGCTTGACGCGTTGTGACTTCGATCTTTTCGTCCATACATTTGGCAGAGCTAGCCCCTCGATCTGCATCCGTGAAAATTCATGTTCGCCACTTTACCTGTACAGTGTTGTAAACCCCAGCACTTCTCCTTGAGTTTGTGTTCTCGATCTGCATCATTCTTTATGAGCATGTACTGTTGAGTATGGTGAAAACCGTTTCTTTAGGAAGAAAACAGTCAATTGAAATCTATTGCCTTTCTTTCCAGGGCATCAGTTTGATCTGATCCATCTAAATGGCATTTCATGAGAGCAATGATGCCATTTCGTTATAACCTAACCTTTTTATTAGGCACAGGAGGTACGATCTGATTAAAAGAACCGTAGGTAGGTCGTACTATATGTTCAAGGATAACGAGTAAACAGAGAAAGAATCTGTGATGGCTTGTGCTTTGTGCTTAACAAATCCCAGCTACATCCTCGGTTTCAGGCCCTATATGGCTAGGTTTGGAGTAAATGTTCACTTTCACGTGCTTTGCTAGCTTTCCCCATTACAACGATTAATATCTTGGAATTATTTTGCATATGAACTCCATTTCCAAGTTACGACCACGCTTTTGCTTGAAGCCTTGAAGGATGAACAGATGATTGATTTGTAGTCGATCCATCATTTTCGTGTAATTAGACAAGTGGTTATTTCCAGCTGTACATGTGTGAAAAATGCAACTTGTCCCCCATCAAACTAACAAGTTGCACAAAAATGAGAGATGGCTCATACGTTGCACTAAACCAAAATAGGGATATCAAAAAATAGTTTCACATGCCTATCATTTAAAAAAAACAATCTAAATTAAAGCCAACCTCACAACTTGTGTATGATCTGACTATGCATGGTTGACAGAATAATCTCTATAGGAGCTAGAGACAGTCTGTTTCTCATCTGAACAGAAGGTGGGCGTGGTGTTATATACACTGCAATCAGTATGTGTAGTTGTCTACTGGCCGGTACTATCTCTACGAGATTTTGGTGTTGTTAGGTATACTATACTTTTCAGAACTGCCTATAATTAATAAATATCCCCTACTTACATGATTGAATACAAAACTCTATAGATATATACAAACCATATATAAATATGTGTGGCTAATTTTCTTATTTAGCTAGCCAAGTGGTCCAGGAATTTGGTGGAAGTTGAAAGTAATTAAGAAATGTCTTGAAGCAAAAAAAATATATAATCCAGCTCTGTCAAAGCAAGCTACATATGATTATTCAATAAGAACGTTATTATGTTCAAAAGACTAGCCTCTGATCTTATATAAACCCCAAGTAGTACACACACCAATTCATATAATTGACATGCCTAATAACCATACCATGCAAGCTAGTTAGCAAAGGCAAGGAGCCGGATTCAAGCTAGTGAGTACTCAACTGGAGTACTTCAATATACAATGTATGCCTCTTATAACTAGTCCAATATCCAGCTCATCAATTGCATGGAGCGCTAGATTAAATCTTTTCTGAAAGTGATATACAACAGTTGTTTCTAGCTAGTTTCATAGGTGCAACTGCATTCTGTACACATCTATATATCGCAACAAATCTCTATCACTACAATCTGGGCTCAGCATGATCATGTGGTGTACGTAAACCTAGCTTTCTATTTATATCCAATGAACGTGGTAATTATAAAGCCCTCCGATGGGACGTGGTACTTTATAATATAATAGATTAATATACTCCCTCCGTCATAAAATAAGCGCAACCATGAGTTTCTGTGTCTAATTTTGATTGTCCGTCTTATTTGAAACTTTTTTATGATTAGTATTTTTTGTTATTATTAGATTATAAAACATGAATAATACTTTATGTGTGACTTATGTTTTTTTAGTTTTCTTTAAAAAAAATTAAATAAGACGAACAATTAAAGTTGGATACGAAAACTCATGGCTGCGCTTATTTTGAGACGGAGGAAGTAGCAAATAAGGGCATATGAGAGGGCTTTGGAATAGTTGCAGAAAGAAAGGAACCCTTAAAGGTGCATCCTTTCGTGTCATTACTTTCAAATTACAATATTCCATTCGTGTATATGTCATTATAATCTACAATATCGAGATGATGTGCCCCTATCTTTCCTCCTTATAAATATATTTCCCGTTCTGTAAGTATATATGCCATGTGCAACAGTAAAGTAGATTTATAATAGTGACAGATCAAACAATTAAACTGGTACTAATTCATAATGAATAGAGGATACAATAAAAAGGCCATTTAATTTATATACTATTCTTTTTGCCTCATAATTAACTCGGTTTCATTTTCGTATCTAAAACTCTAAAAATTTTTAGAATATAAATTTCCTCAATCCCAAAATAAATTGAACCTTTGCATCCCAGAAAAAGTTAGCGGCATAAGAAAAAAGGACAAAGTTCAGTGCCTCTTATATATTAATAGGAAATTAGTATTGATAGGTGGGTAGGTAAGGAGTATTTAAGGGTAAAATTTTAAATCTAGCGTACGCAAGGGGGTAGAAATCAACTTATTATGTGACAAAGTTTAAAATGTAGAAATAAACTTAATTTGGATCCGAGAGAGTGGCATTCTGTTGGTTAATTTGATCGTGGTTTCCACCCACATGGTTAAAGTTAGGAGGCTATGGAGCCCACATATCATATAGCTGGTAGTGGGTCCCACAATTTCCTCCTTTTCTCTTGCAACACAAACTCCGATTTTAAGACCCATTGTTTCACTTATGCATATGCTTATTCATAACGCTTATTAATAAACATAAAATAATTTGCGAGTAAAACTTTTATATATTCATTCTTAGCATCTCAAAAGTAAATGCTATAAAATAAGTTACAATGAAAAACACAAAATTAACTTTGAAATTAAGTCTTAAATTCAAATTTTAGCTTATAAGTATAAGCATACGAGAAACACTGACGATCTAAATGTTGATGTCGTGCGGTAAGAAAACATATATAGTCGAATCGATCGACATGTGTATATGTGATGAATTCTGAATTCTGCCGGATTTTTAATAGTCAAGGAACAACTTCGACCACATTTTAGAGTTCATGGATGAAATTAAGAGCCTCATCTTTTCGCATATGCTTATATTTATCATCAAAATTTAAATTTTCAATCTTAGATTTGGAGTTGATTTTGAGTTTTTTCATCAAAGTTTATTTTTAAACCTTTTTACGAACACGTATATAAAAGTTTTATTTAAAAATTATTTCTCGTTTATAAATATGCCGTTTAGCTTATTATTTCACGAACAAACCAAACAATGGGGCCGTAAAGGATACACATATTTTCCTAAATAAACCACCACAACTAAAGTATGCCGATCAAATGAGAGGGATAATGTGCACATAGCCTGTTAGTTACTCCCTAAATCTAAATTAAATTTAAATTATTAAACCGGGTAAAGAACGCATGCAGTATAAATTATTGAACGTCTCCACATGCCGAGTCTAATTTGCCGACACACGTACGTAGCGGAAATGCCCAGCCAATGCAGTCTCGATAGCTGTCGATCGATCGATCTTGCACAGATAAGCCGCAGGGGAGATCGATCCGAGGCGGCCATTGGATTACTCTGATAGTCTCGCGTGGTTCGCTCGCTTGCCTCCCTTGGCTTTTGCCGCGTCGCGGGAAGCGCAAGAAGAGATAGGAAAATAACAGGGGGCAACTCTTCCGGCTCCTCAAGCTCCAACTTGCGGATGAGGTCAACATGGGCCTTAATCATGCTACTTAACAAACAAATCCGGCCGTGTTAAACTAATCCCCTGTGGTAATTTTTGTCCAGAAGAACAAGGAATAGTTTTATCAGCCCAATGATAGTGATGTCATGGACTAATTGGAAGATTACATCAGTATTATTCAGCATGCCAGAGGTCAGAAAGAGCGCCAATAGGAGAAAGATACTCAACAATGTTCAGGGAACTGCCACTAGCTAGCTGCAAATGCACGCACATGGCAAGTCAATATAAATACCCGCAAGTACAGAGATAATATATATATGCAGTTCTCATCTCCATTATTTTTTTACAGATACTACATTACTATATACAACTTCGTGTATTCTACTAAACCTGCATACTTTAGAGGTCTTTCCCTGTGTGCCATTAAAAAAGATGGTGGCTGACTTTGTGCCACTAAAAAGTTCGAGCCTCCCTCTATAATATCGTCGAACTTTATCGCGTCCTCCACACCATTCCGACCGTTTTTTTCCTAACGGTGGGTAACGGTGCAGCAAAATGACTTTGTTACCCTTTGAACAAGTTTGCTCCCTTCTTTGCTCTTGTCCGGATTTGGTATAGAAGCAATTTCGAGTGATTATTTTCCTTTTTCTCGAATTGTTTTTTTGGTAGGTTTGTTTGGCATGAGCAATGGTGAACGACGACGAGCAGGTGGTGAGTGGTGACGATCGCCAAGGCCAGCCCGGACACGGCCGAGAGGAATTGCCGCATCTGCCACCTCGGCCTCGACAGCGCCGTCGCCGAGTCCGGCTCCAGCATGTTCCTCGGCTGCTCCTGCAAGGACGACCTCTCCTGCGCCCATAAGCAATGCGCTGAGACCTGGTTCAAATTCAGGGGCAACAGGTAATCTCTGGAACGCCGTCATGCCCACGGTGCTCTGGAACGCGCACCGGAGCGGCGCCGCCACGACATCATCTTCCTCCCCGTCGATCTGGACCACGCCAAGTTGAGCCGCCGCGCCACCATCGTCGTCTCATCACCACGACCAAAACCCCTCAAGAACCCCCAAGATTGATGCACCATGGACGGAGAACGGTATCATCTTCTCCAACTCTGGCCGCCGGCGTCAAACGTCGATTCCGCCTCCTCCGGTGAGTCATTGTCCAATTCCTCGCGCACACACCATCCATGTGGCCTCACTAACCTCGTGGACACACATGCATGCTAGATCTTGGAGACGTTTGAGCTGTCGCCGTTCTCCCGGAGCTCCGCATCGCCGTCGAGCCGTTCCAACCGAAGCTGTCGCCCGCCGCAGTTGAACCTGCGCCCGCTGCGCAGCGCCGGTCGCCACCTCCGTGATGTCGGCGCCGGTGGCCTCGCAGAGCGCGGAGATGGCGTTCACCGATGACACCCTCTGCGCCAAGAACGCGTTCACGGCGAGCTTGGACAGCTCCGCCGACCAGAGGTTGGTGGTGACGATCCGGTCGACGGGGACCCATTGCGCGTACATGTCCTTCAACGCCTGCACGGCGGCGGTGTCGCGGCCACCGATGAGAACGCAGGTCAGCGACGGCCGTGACCTCCGCCAGGAACTCCGGGTTGGAGAGCACCTGGAACTCGACGACATGGGCGTTGTGCGCGAGGATCTTCTCGATGGCCTCGGCCGTCCTGACGGGACGGTGGACTTCTCGACGACGACCTTGCCGGAGCGTGACGCGTCGACGATCATCCTCGCCGCGCTCTCCCAGTAGGCGAGGTCGGCGGCCTTGCCGGCGCCGCCTCGCCGCCTCGCCGCCACGCCGCGCCTGGCCTCTCTCTAAAACAAAGCAGAGACTGCAAAGGGCAAGAGCGATATTTTTCCTATCCGACACACATGTCAGAACTGCCAAACGGTTAAAGCTAAACAGAATAGCGACGGGATGGTGTGGAGGGCACGATAAAGTTCGACGATAGCATAGAGAGAGTCTCGAACTTTTTAGTAGCATAGAGGCAGCCACCATCTTTTTTAATGGTACACCGGAAAAGACCTCCATACTTTAAGGTTACAAGACTTAGCTGTTGTAGAGGCCATTGACAAGTCAAATTTTCTGTAGTACTGCAACTGCAAGTACTTCAATTATTATCCACATATATATGGACATATGGTCCTGTGCCTTAGGGTACAGTTCCTGTTCGATCTGTTATGAATTAGTGAAGCAATATCTAGTGCGTGCCTGCAGTCAGATGCCAAATTGTAATTACTTACGGACCCATACCCGAGCCGGACGCAGGGACATACATGCTGGCCAAGAATTAATCTCTTGTTGAGACTATAGATCAGAAAGACGGACCCCCATGATCGATCGATCCGATCAGATCGATCTCACCGGATGCATGCAGCATGCAACAAACCTGAGAAATGATATGTCCCTGCAGCCTGCAGGTGACTAACTACAGGTCTACAGCTCGGCGAGGACATGGAAATAGCGGAGGAACGGATCAGTAGAATGGCAGTGATCACATGGAGCCTGGCCGGGACACCGGACAAGGATGAGATGTCAGCAAGGCAGCAGCTAGCACTAGCAGCATATGCTTCATTTTTCATTTTCTTTTGGCTACAGTGTGCTACGTAATAGACGTACGTGGTACAGCCATATCTTTTTCTTCCATTTCTGCTTTTTGCCAGGAAATGTGAAAATGTACGTACATGAATTAAGGCTGCATTAACTATATTAATTATTTTCGATTTTTTATATAGAAATAAATATACCGTTGCGATCCAACAGAGCAGCACAAATGCAGTCCCTGCCAGCATCTTTTCTGTTAGAGTCAACGGCTGCCAGTACTCTCTGACAGGTGAGGCCGTCGCTGGCCAGGAAATGCCGAAATGGCCATATGTCCGTATGTATATGGAGTATACGACCATGTGGTCGCTCCATCAGTATGGGGATCATGTACTCGTTTGTCCAACTCATGACTAGCTACATATCCTGACAACATTAAGATCTTTTATCTAAGTCCTGACATTAGCATTTACAGCGTTGTTCCAGGCAGTGGCAGACACCGTGACTCCGTGAGAGGGTGAAGAGAACAGCAACGAGAGAGAGGATGATCAGCAGGTAGACCCAGGGGCCAGGGGCACTTTTTCCATTTAACAATGTGAAAAACAAACAGCCTTTTAAGCTGACCAGCTTCTACTCAATGTTCTCTAAGGTCAGTTTTCGGTTTGAATTGTGTGATATTAATTTTTCAGTAGCAAAATCAGGAGCATTTAGGCTCTGTTCTTTACTCAATGTTCCCAACTTCACCTTTGACCCGTTTTCCTCGCGCACACTTGCAACTGCTAAAAAATGTGTTTTTGCAAAAAAACTTCTATAGAAATGTGATTTTTTTAAAAAAAATCATACTAATCTATTTTTTTAAAAAACTAATACTTAATTAATAATGTGCTGATAAATGATTTTGTTTTATGTGTGGGAAGGATTAGTTCCCAACTCATTTTGCCGAACACAACCTTAATCAGCTAGAAAAAGTTTGTTCCCTATCCCACAAATCTTGACAAGGTTTAATTTTTTTTTCATCCTTAGATTATAATGTTAATAATGCTTTTGACTCATGTAATTAGTAGGATCCACATGCCATTATACTATATATAGCTAGAGGGATGAAAAAAGAGTAAATTGTACACACTCCTTTAACCCTATATTTTATAACAAACATGAATTGGAAAATATTGTGCCTTCGATGAACAACTAAGGTTAAAGACTACTTGAAAGAGATATTCACCGATGTTGGCCCCCTCAGATTGCACAGGCAAACCGCCTCTACGAACACGGTTGATCAAACAAAATACATTTTATCTATCCATAACAAAATATTTTAAAAGTAGAGAAATATATTGAATCTTGGATGACCACCATGAAACAAGTTGGAAGGGTAGGTTTAACCTTGTCTGAGTTGATGAGGAACATATTTTACCCAATCCTGGAATTGAGGAACAAATACAAAATTAGTTAAGGATTGAGGGGATGAAAAGTAAAGTTTTTCTCTAATTAACTAGTACTTCCTCCATTCACAAATATAAGAGATTATTTGTACTTTTGGAGATATTAACTAAGGGATTAGAGAAAAGATTATGAGGCCCTCATTAAATGAGAGGTGGTTGGAGAGTGATTGGGTAAGATGAGAAGAAAATTAAATGAGAGATGACTAATGAGACATGTAGTACTTTATATTTGTGGACCAATAGTGAATCGTAAAATCGCTTATATATATTGACAGTGGGAGTAGTATTTTTTTATACATATGCAATGCATTTTTCTGCCATTTTTCTATACTATGACTGTCGGTAGGGAAACCTTGCTCCAAGGCTTACTTTCTAATGTAAGATCGAGTGAAATATCAAACATTACACGTTTTTGCATAGTTTGTCTCCAAAAAGAAAATGCTTCCTGACTATATTTGGCTTATGAATAAGAAAATAGAAAGTAAAACATACTTAATCCCTCCATCTTAGAACAATATTATTTTTAGCCCCCTTCCGTTTGTACCAAAATATATTCATTTTTAAGTAATCATTACAACGGAGTTTATAAAAGTAGAAAAAAATATACTAGGAATAGATAAGGTGAAGAACGATTGAAGTAAGATTAGATAAAAAAAATAGGGGGGGGTATTCTAGTCATTATATTTTCTTTTGTATTGGTATGTGTAGGGTAGGTTAAAAATAAACTTATTTTTTATTGCGAGTACTTCCTGAATAAAAAAGATCATCTTCTGTCTACAATATGGATTCATATTCTTAGCCCGCAAAGGGTGTATGAGCTATTGCACCCAAACCACACGTGGTAGGAGTATTTGTTTTCGTCAGAAACTGAACAGGCCAGATTTTTGAGACCTGCTATAGGTCATATCAATCAGCCAAAGATAAGGACATTTCATGGCTTGATGTGATCCGAGTTGAAGTCTGGTATGGAATCTACAGTCTTTCTGCACGAACTCCTCCCCATGGCTGCACAAGTTTTTATACTATGTGTAAAATTTATTGCCAGTTTTGCCTAAAAAAATATGTACTTCTAAGTTGCGAAAATGTAGCACAAACATTATGTAAATAATTAAGATCAAAGTTGTAACGTTATACTCTATTTGTAGCTATAAGTAATGTCGGTGATATGGGTCTGGGGGTACCATGCTTAAAGGGGAGAGGTCGCCCCCAGCATCCACGTGGCACTTCCCCCGAGGGGGTCGGGCCCATGGATGGGTGGTAGCCGCCCCTCTCTAGCCCGAGGCGTCGGGCTGCCCCGACCCCTCAGGACGGTCACCATGTGGCCATCATGCAGGGGAGGTTAGGTGGACGCCCCTTATGCCCGCCTAACCGCATTTAGTGCGGGCGGAGCGGGCGCGCCATACCATATTAAATGCGGCGTGCTACGCGCCTGATAAAATTGCGACCGATGCGTGACCGGTCGAATAACCGAAGTGACGGCGGCAAGCCACACACACTCTGGCCGGGTGTCATGCGGCGTGCGGCAGGTATGCCCTGTCATGTCACGATGATGAGAGGCACAACGCCTCTCAACCGTCCGGAGTCGGCTTGACCGCTCAGGATGCACCCAGGATCGCGTTTCCAGTGCATACGCGTCCCAAGTCCACAACCATTTAATGGTGACTGACGGGGATCCTCCCCGTGTCGGCCTACGTCAGCCGGCCTGATTTGATGGGCCCTGCACAGCAGCCAATGCTCAGACGACTCCCGGGTTGTGGCACAAGACACACATTTAATATAGAGAATATTTACCCTCTTCACTAGGCGGCGCACCAGGTGCATGTGAGAACTCCTTGGAGTATAAAAGGAGGTTCATGTCCAGTGAGGAGGGGGATCGAACAACAAAAAGGTGGAATGCTTAGCTCTAGCTGGGACACCAGAGATTTGGAGACTTTGTAAGCTCAGAAAAATCATCATGCACAGGAGTAGGGTATTATGCTTTTTAGCGGCCTGAACCTGAATAACTCCCTAGCGTCTCATCTCCATCGAGGGCCCGACCCCCTCGATCTCTCCCAATCCACCTAGTTCCTCAATTTCCACTTGCTACCCCCGGTCGAACTAACAAAGGAGGGGCCTCACGGTCCCCCGCTCGAGAGGTTCATCCTCTGACAAGTACTTTACTGATACCTAGCACAAATAAATGTACTACATCTTCTCAGAATAAGTTTATTCATAGAGTTCGAACTATATCTCAACATAAGTTAATTTATATCCTCTTACCTGTTCTTGTTTAGTATATCGAAGAGCTTTTATCAATTATAGAACTTTCCTATTACACTACTACAAAATAAGTTTTGATAGCCGGGTAAACAGACCACCTCCTAGAATCATAGGCCTGCAAAAATTGATTTCACATATGATACTTAGAAGGCCTGCTTGCAAAATAACTTTTTGGGCGCAAAAAATTGAAGTTCAAGCCTGATCTACCAAATCCAAATCACGGATTCACATATTAAAAAAATCACAGATTCACAAATCAGCAATAGTAGCAGCATATATGGTTCAAAATTCTGGAATGGAATTTTTGAATTTTTGGGTCCATCGAACCCCGATATGAAAAGATTTCACCCAACTTCTTTTTGGAATTTTTCAAAAAAAATGAATTAGAATATTTTATTTTGATTTGACCAATTTTTGTTCTAAATTTAAAAGTATTTCGGTCTAGTATCGTTTCCAAAATTTCAGTCCTACAGATGCCCTGAATAGGAACATGCAAACCAATATATTAAACCCCGGCAGCAGGATGCCGGTGTCGCATTCATCGAGCAGTTCTCTCCAGTCACCCTCATCGCCATCACCGAGCTTTGTTGAATAACCACCACCATCGCCACCGTCTTTGCCATCCTCGAGCCGTGCTAGATCTGAACTGAGTCACCTCCATCGTTGTCGTCGCTGAGTCACGCTAAATTTGGACCGACTCACCAACCTTGCCTCCATCGTTATCGTCACTGACCCCCGCCAGATCTATAACGAGATACCCCTCCCTTCTGCTACC